TGTGTGCTTCTGAATTAAAGAAGGATTAAAATAAGCCCAAATTAGTTAGGCATTCGGGTGATCTCTAAAAATGGAGTCTTGAGTAGTGTATCTGGTAACTCAGCCCCAAACTGAAATTAAGTAGGTAGGCAAGGTAGATGATTCACACCTGTAATTCCAGCTGCTTGGGAGGCTGGGGTAAGCCATAGCTAAGGTTCATAGCCTGTCTTGGCTGGAGGGTAAAGTCAAGGGCAGCGTAAGCAACTCAATTATATCTCATTTTCAATTAAGAACGGAAGAGGGCCGAATTTGCAGCTCAGTGGTGCAGCACTCTCAGAGCAGGGGGGAGCAGGCCCTACATTCAACCCGCGGTGCTGAAAAAAAGAAGTAGGTGGACCCATTGTCCAGCCACCCTGGATAAAAAACGCGCCTATTATGTTATAATACTGGTTCAGCTGTGAGCTTATGTTTTAGGAGAGGAATGTGCTCAGCATAATAGGAAAGAATTTTTCCACTCCCTTTTGTGCGCTCAGAACTGGCCTCCACATTCGTTTCCATTTCTTTCTCCAACTTTGCATTTTAAATTGTTTGGATTGTGATCATAGATTTAAAAAAAAAAAAATTAGCTTCACCTAAAATCCCCCCTTCCCCAAAAATTAGTTTTTAAGGAAATTTCTTTGTAAAGGGACTTGCTTGTAGCTCTTAGGGAGAGGAGTGTATGGGTGTGATTTATAGGCATTATTCCAAATACCCTCCCCATCCTCCATCCCCAGCAAAAAAAAAAAAATCCCTTTCAGCTGTTGAAATGCATTTCTGAATTGTCTGGTTTTGCTGTCTCACCAAGAGTGCTGTGGTCTGTGTCCCCTAACTTACTCTGCAATGTAATAGCATCAATAGATAGGACCTGCAGGGGTGTCACCAGGTCTTGAGGGCCCTTCCCTTAGCACAAGATTAAGGATTTTTATTATATTTTATTTTTTTAATTTCATTTTTGGTTTTCAAGACAGGGATTCTCTGTCTAGCCTTGGCTGTCCTGGACTTCATTTTTAGAGCAGGCTGGCCTCAAACTTACCTGCCTCTTCCTCCCTGAGTGCCAAGATCACAAGCATGTACCCCCATGCCTGGCTGAGATTAAGGATTTTATGAGATTTAGAGTGCAACTGACGCCTTCCGGTTTGGTTTCAGTCTTGTGCAATGTGAGGGTGCAGCATGAAGGAGGTAGAAGCCTTTGCAGTCATTGAGCCCACAGCTTCCTAGCCCCCAGAATGGTGAGAGATCAATGTCTACTGCTTATAAATCACCCGGGCTAGAGTGTGACAGCATCGACAGATGAGAGCAAGGGGAAGTCCAGGAAACACAGCAAACGGTTGGGCACGGTTGTACATAGTTTTGGTTATTTGGGAGGCTGAGGCAGAAGGATCATTTGAGTTCTGGGGTCTAAGCAAGACCAGCCAAGGCAACATAGCAAGACCCTATGAAAAGAAGAAAGAAAAGAAAAAAAGAACTGCATTTTATTATTTTTTTGGAAAATTTGATTTTTGTTGTTGTTCAAATGATTTGTTTTTGCTTGACATGAGTCAAGTTTTGTTTTGTTTTTTTGGAGCCAATTCTTATTAAACATTTTTGAGTAAGGTAGGGATTACAGGGCAGAGGTTAAGAGAGCAGCCTGGAGCGTGAAGGTGCATAGCTGTTAGGCAGAGGAGCTATCTGACCTTTGTGAGCTTCGGCCGGCTGGTTTCGTAAGATGTGTGAGAATTAAACAGTACTATTATTCCCAATTATATGCCCCTAAGGCCTGTGTTGCTAAAGAAAAGTGGAACTTTGAGGAGGCATGACCTAGAGGGAGGAAGGTAACTGAAGGCTCTGGGACCTTAATCTTCTTTCTCTCTGTCCTTTGGTTCCTGGCCACAATGAAGTGACTATCTTTGGCTCCACCATGTTCTCCTTGCTCTGAAGTATCTGCTCTCTACAGACCCAAAAGCAATGGGATAACTGGCCATGACAGATTTAAGTCTCTAAAAGCATAAATCAAAATCTTCCTGCCATGTAAATTGATTTTCATCCAGTATTTTGTTATAGCGATGAAAAGCTAAAAAGAAGACTATTAATTTTGTTCAGATCCTTTTCCTGAATTAAAGTTTCAATGTTACCGGTCTTGAAGACTGCTTTTCCTTTTATACAACCCGTCAAAAGCCTGGTTAATATACAACTTTAAAAAATGTCTTTTTCAGACACGAGCCAAAAATGCTGTTGCAATCTGGGCCAACCCAAAAAAGATGAACAAAGGTCGGCAAACAGTGCTCTTAAAATGCACAGCTCTTTTCATCTAGCTCACTCAGTCACTTTTCATCTAGCCACTGAGTGTCTTCTGTGTGTCAGGTTCTGTCCTGAACTCTGAGAAGTAAGCTATAAGCAAGACAAAACTCATGCTTTAAAAAACATGGCTCGTCTTACTGGGGATTTATTATTCAAACTTCTTCATGAAAACTCAAGAGGTTTTTGTTTGTTTGTTTGTTTTTATCTTTCTTTCTCTTGAGACAGGGCCTCATGTATCCAAGGGTGGCCTCCACCTTGCTATGTAGCAAGGATGGACCTGAACTCCAGACCACACTGCCTCTACCTTCTGACTGTTGTATGGTGCCAGGATTAAACCTAAGTTTTTATGCATGCTAGGCAAATACTCCACCAACTGAGCCACACATCCAGCCTAGGATACCTGTGTTCACATTTTGTATTTAACCAAATCTACTTGTGCACAAGGACAGCTGCACACCAACCTCGTCCTTCTAGTGCGGGACTCAACTGTGCTTGGAACCCTCTTCGTTTTTTAGACAGGATCTTACGTAGTTATGTCTGGCCTCACATTCACAGCGGTCTTCCAAGTCCCCTAAGTGCTGGTGTTCCTGGTGTGCCCCATCAGGAACTCTACAAAGCCATCCTTTCTGGGGCTGTCTCATTGGCAGCCTGGAATAAATGGACCTCTGAGCTTTGCAGACACCATGTTCCTGACCTGTGTTCCAGAGACCTGCTTTCAGTCACCAATCAACACATCTGTGTCTGGAGGCCTCTTCCATGTTCTCCCTTCAGCTCACCAGCCTTATCTCATCTCATCTTCCATCTTCCCCAGGAAGCCTTTCCTGTCTCAATGTGCCCATGTTAGTTCAGTAGCTACTGCTAGCTTCCTGTGGTGGTCTGAAAGAAAATGGCCCTCCTGGACTTATAAGGAGTGGCATTATTGGAGGTGTGGCTTTGTTGGAGGAAGTGTGTTACCAGGGGTAGGCTTTGAGGTTTCAGATGCTCAAGCCAGGCATAATGGCGCACTCTCCCTTCCTGCTCCCTGGGGATCCCGATGTAGAGCTCTCAGCCACCTCTCCAGCACCATGTCTGCCTGATTGCTGCCATGCTTCCCGACATGATGATAATAGACTGAACCTCTGAACGGTAAGCCAGCCCCGATTAAGTGCTTTCCTTTATAAGAGTTGCTATTGTCAAGCACATGCCTTTAATCCCAGCACTCAGGAGGCACAAACAGACTGATCTCTTAGAGTTCAAGTCCAGCCTGGTCTACAGAGTGAGTTCCAGGACAACCAGGGCTACACAGTGAAACTCTGTCTCTAACCTCCACACCCCAAAAAGAGAGTTGCCATTGTCATGGCGTCTCTTCACACAATAAGACCCTAAAAAAGACACTTCCCATGACTTAGTTTTTTGTTTGTTTGAGACAGGATCTCTGCATAGCTCTGGCTGTCCTGGAACGCATCATGTAGACCAGGCTAGCCTAGAACATCCCCAGATCCACGTGCCTCTGCCTCCCAAGTGCACCACCACCCCTGGCTCCATGCTTTAATTTTAACACGTTCTAGAACTCAATGCATCATTATTGAGTAATGAGACTTTTTCATCAAACTGTGTGCTTCTTAAATTCAGGGACTAATTTCTGGTAACCATGCTAAACAAAGAGAAGAAGGAACAGGAGGTGATGGAGGATGAGGAAGAGAGAATGCGTTAGTGATAAGAACTCTCCTTAGGGGCACGGAGATGGATGGCTCAGCCTGTAAAGATGTGTGCCCCCAGGACTGAGAGTTGGTTTGGATCGCCAGTATCTGCCTTTTTTAGAGTTGTATTTATTTAGTCCAAACTCAGGGAAATGACTAGTTATGGTACTGCTGAGTTATTTAACTCAAAGGGTTTCTTATTTCTGGCAGTAAGCAAGGGCTTAATAGGCATGTGCCCTTGAAAGAATAATTATTATTAGAGGTTTTCTTTTTTTCTTTCCTTTTTTTTTTTTTTTTTTTTTTTTTTTCATTTGCTTTTTAAAAACACAGTCTTGCTCTAAGCCCAGGCTGGCCTCAAATTGGTAACAATCCTCTGGCCTCTGGCCTCAGCCTACCCGGGGATACAGGTATGAGCTACCACAGCCTGCTCTAGAGGCTTAATTTTAATGAGGCTAACACACAGCTTTCGCTGTTTGTGGAACTTTCCATATAAGTTCTTCTAAATTCTAACATAAGCCTGCACTTATGTTCTTTCTATATATGAAGGTGAAGAACTGGTGAGAGGGTGACTTCTAAGGTCACTTCCAGGGTCTATTCATTTACAGTTTTCACCTGGTTGCTTGGGGCTGGTTCTAAGAGAGGGGAGGGAGAGGAACACAAAGACTCCACCGCCCTCATTCACGAAAACCACTCATTCTCCACCACTGTTTTCTCCAGTTACTACTATGACTGGAGAATCTCCAGCACGTCCATCTGCAGTTTATTATATCCTGTCTGTTGTGGACCTGCCTGTTAGTGTCCCCCCCAAATTCATGCCGAAATCCAAACCTTAAGGTGGAGGTGCCGGGAGGCGGCATCTTTGAGAGGTGACTGGCCACAAAGGTAGGATTAGGGCCCTTATATGAAAAAGCAAGAGAGGAAGATTGTTCCTACCACTTTCTGTATACACATGACCATATGTTTACCAGTTCATCTCACAGCATGAGCCCGGGAGAGTGGGGCCTAAAAATGAGGCAGACTAAAGTCTCCTGCAGTAGTCAACTTTATTCAGAGCATCCGACAACTTATGCTCTGAGGGCTAGGAAGAGTCACCCAAGTACAGTATACAATCACGAGGACAAGCCACACGTGGCAAAACAGGTTTTTGCACTAGAGGCATATGAATAGAAGCTTACGTAAACTCGCTCTTATCTGCTACACCTGGGAAGAGCACAAACCCACATTCCATGAAAAATTCTGTGTTTTGAAGAAACTGAGGTCGGTCACAAGACTCTTATCTTGTATTCTTGGAGTTTTCTCACAAGCACTCAGAATTCTCACATGACTCCATTCTTGGACCTGTGTTCCAACGCCTGTATGAATTAATTTTACAAACAACCATGCTTCATTATGACATTTTCGTACACATATATAATGCTTTGATGATGTTCGCCCTACCGTGCCCCTCTAACTGGCCTCCTTCTCCCCCCAAAACAGCTTCCTTCCTATTTACATGTCTTTTGTTATTGTTGTTGTTGTCATTGTTGTTGCTAAGTCCAGCTTAGTCATATGAGAGAAAACATGTAATTTTTTTCTTTCTGAATCGGGCTTATTTTGCTTAACACGATGTTCTCCAGTTTATTCACTTTCCTGCAAATGGTGTACTTTCATTCTTCCTTATGGTGGACTAAAACTGCATTGTGCACCTAGAGCACATTTTCTTTATCCCTTCATGTGCTGATGGGCACCAGGCCGACTCCTATCTTGGCTGTTGTGAACAGTGCTGCAATAAACATGGGTGTGTAGCCATCTCTGTTGTTTGCTCACTTTGATTTCTTTCGGCATATACCCAAGCACGGGTATTTGCTCCCTCTCTCTGTGCTGTGTAGTTGGCATTCTCAAAACAAAACAACCCTCAGCAGACACTGGGCTGGCGACCTCTCCGCTTGTGTGAACTTCCCAGCGTACGGGTTATTTTGCTATTGTGACCTGTGTTGAGATGGAACGTGGTAGTGAGATGGTTGTGTGCCTATACTTAATGATGCCAAAGGACCTTTGCAATTGTGGGTAGAGGGCGGTCTAGGGGAGAATGGCTCAGCAGCCCAGATTGTCAAGCCGGGACTTTAAAGTCAAGTCTCCTGGTGCCTCTGAAAGGAAAGAAAAAGCTGCCAAGTGTCTTCTTAGAGAGTTATAACCAGAACAGCTGGTAAACACGTGGGCGGTAACCCCATCGTGACCAGAGCCCCAACGGAAGGGAACGAGTTATTGAACACTAAGGAAAAGACAATTCCTGCCAAGCTGAGAGCCCGTGTTTATGTTCTAGTGTTTTTGGGGAGGCGGAGAAGAGGGGAAATTGGCCATTTAGCTGGATACATTGCTAATCCAAGTGTTGAAAAGGGGCTCAGGTCCTAATGGTAAAACATGAGAAGGAAGCAATCTTTTGAAGTCAGAATTGCTGAGCAAAGGGAACTAGAACGTAGAAGATTTAGAAAATTCTCACCCTCCCCACCCTGTGAGAACTGAGAAAGCAGGCTCATGGGAAGTCAGTCATCTCCGTGTGTGGCCAACCAACAAAAGCCTAAGTTCTGTGGATATTTGTGTGACGGTGAGCTGTGCAACCTGAACAGAATGCCACCAGTGTGAAGAGAAGGGGGAAGGAGAGGGCCAAAATAAAGAATGGCTGTCATGCGAGGTGTGGTAGTTTATTCCTGCAATCCTAGAACTTGGAAGGCTGAGGCAGGAAGATAGTTCAAAGTCATCCTGGGTTACATAGTATAATAAGCCCTGTCTCAAAAAAGGCACATTTCTGATCCCTAACTTGTGAGGTGGAGGCAGGAAAATTGTTGCACGTTTGAGGTGGGCCTGGTCTATCTTGTAAGCTTCAGATCAGCCAGGGCTACAAAGCAAGACATGGTCTCAAAAAAGAAATCAAAGGAGGAGAAGGAGAAGGTTGGAAAGGAGGAAGAGAGAGAGAAAGTGGAAGAAGGCATCAGTTTTATTGGTGAGATCATGGAGCTATTGGAAGGCAGAAATGCACTATTTTCAGAGTGTGGGGGTTCAAGCCCTCCTTACTAAAACTTCAGGCGCAGAACCTCAGCTTTGTGGGCTGCAGTTGAGAGACTGCAATTCCAGCTGATTTAGGAGATTGGAATGATACCCCAGTAGGCAGGATCAATGGAGAAGACAGTGACTTCAACCGCTGCATCTCGGTCACACCAAGACCAAGGAAAAACAAGGGGAAAGAGAGGGTTTACCTGTGTCTGTTTAAAAGATTAATCTGAGCAAGCACTCAAGAGGCAGCAGTGAGATGGTCCTGCCTGCTTCACATTGACTGTCTTTACAACAAACAGAAAGGACCAAGGGCTTGACCCAGAGGTTGTACGTACCACGTCTGCCTAAACTGCAGTGGCCAGCGCCTCATCCGGAGTGTATCCGATCTCTGTGTGGTCATGTGTCTAGCAAAAACTATCTTCTACAAGAAGGGGGAAGTGATGTCACAGGCACAGCAAGCAGACTCAGCCTGCCTCAGATTGAGACAGTGGGTTACTAGGGAGTAGCCATCAAGCAGACTCAGAGAAAAAGCAGCAGCAGGAGGTGGGACCTCCGGAAAGTAAGAACGGCCTCAGGCCACCTGCTGGCACCAGGTGCTTGGCTCCATGATCTCCAGCAGCTTTCCTTCCTCAGCTTACAGTAACCTGGCATAAGCCAGTCCCAGCAGCCTTGACATCAAAGAGCACTGAGGTACACACCCAGAACACTTGCTCCTGGTGGACTGGGGCGTACACTTTTCTCTTCCATTCCTGACACCGGGTGAAGGCCTAGGGAGCAGCGCCCATGCTCAGGAGGTAAATATTGGTTTGACTTACTGTGCTGCTTCCTGTTGCAGCTGGATGCACTTATTATCTGTCTCCGTTGTTTCTGCAGATTATAGAAGGGAGGTTTCAGATCGCCTCAGAAAAACAGTCTTGAGGACTTCAGGGAACCTCTCAGTTCAGAACTTGAAGAGGAAAATAGTAACAGTTTTAGCCCAGCCCTTCCTTGAAACCTGTCAGCACTCAAAGAGCAGGGGCCGTCAGCAGCAGCGGTAATGCAAACAAACCACACTGTTATGAGAACCAGAAGGGCTACGGAGGGCTGGAGGGCTCAGTTCCCTCCAGAGCAGACAAATGCTCGCAGACCTATGAGTGACATACCAAAACGATCAGATCACCCTCGAAAGAATATGCTCATGCCCAGATTTAAAGAGCCTTGCATGAAGCTGTTTATTTTCTTTTTTCCAGTGTTTTACATTTAACCAGCTGGAGAGAAGTACCATTTTGGGCATGGGTAGCGCGTGGCTATAATCCCCAGGCTGGAGCAGGTCAGCCTGAGCTCCATGGTGAGTTCTCAAAAAAAGTACCATTTTATTAAACTTTTGTAAAACGAAGGTTTACACCTGCAACTGGCACATTGGATACAAAGCAACATCGCCCAAAAACGCATGGTTTGTTGATTCTCTTCCACAGAGGAGAAAGCGGGGGTTTCAGAGGCTTCCCTAACAAGGGCTTCTACGCTTCAGGATTCATGTTCAACCAAAGAAGTTCACAAGTCTGCTTGGCATAAGGAAGGTATTCAACTAATTCTTGTTGCTTGAGTATATTTCAAACAGATGCAGAAATGACAGAACATTCATAGCCCAACACTTCGGCACAGAACTCACACAACATACAGGATTGCATATACAATTTCCCTTCGCTTATGTACAAAAGCAAGCCAAGCCTGTGCAGCAGAGCTGGGGGTCTAGCCCAGTGGTGTGACTTGGTTAGCACACCTGATGCCCTAGGTCCAGTCCCTAGCTAGCAGAGTGAAAACTAAACAAAAGAAAGAACTCCAGACAAACCAGGCGGTTGTCTGAGCCAGGTGGTGTGCACCTATAATCCCAGGAGGTCAGCTATGAAGCCAGTGTGGTCTACATATGAGGTCCAGGCCAGCCAGGGCTACATTGTGAGACCCTGTCTCAAGGAACAGTCTATTGAGGAGGGGGCAGAAGCAGAAAGCTTTTAGTGTATAATAACCTCAGTGATTTAAATGATAGCGCTGCTACTTTCTGTTTCAGTGTGGATAAGGCGGTTAAATGCTAAGGTCCTGAAGGCTCTTGATGACTTTATCATTTTAGAGAAAGCTCACCGGTGACAGAACGGCTATTTGGTGGCATTTGTAGCCTTTATTCATTTAGGGATAGAGCTGGGGATGGAACTTTGTGGTAGAGCACTTACTTAGCATACATAAGACCCAGGGATTTGATTCCCTGATCCCTAGCACCCCCCAACACACACACCTAAAAAATATTTTGTTTTCAGACCCTATTTTTTTTTTTTTTATGAAAACCTGTTTATTTATCCACATTAAATTAGATAATGTGGTGTTTTTCCCTGGAAACATGCTTTCAGAGGTGACAAGTTTAGCATTTCGTGGAGAGGTTCCAGGGCACACATGCAATCCCAGTCAGGATGGGGACTCACTACAAGGAGACAAATGTCTACGCAGCAATGAGAAAGAGAATGGAGGGTGAGCCCTGGGCAAACCTGATACGTGTGCTGTCCCAAGAGGGCCAGGCGCAAAGGAAACCTCAGGCATGGACTTCTCCATGTGGGAACTGTTTGAAATGTTATCACCCAGGAAACTCACTAGAGACCCAACATCCAAGCTTTATTGAGGGGCACAGTCACATAGGCAACATCCTCTTGGCATGGGCACCAATTTGAGACTCCCAGGCAGAAAGCAGGTGTTCAGGCTAAACCATATTGTTTGCATAGTTTAGGCACAGCCAGCTTCTTATCACCAAGGGCGGGAAGGAACCCCAACAAAATTGGAATTCTCAGGCACCAGCAGAGAGGCAACCTTGCAGGCCAGCCTGTCACATGGAGGCATCTAGGGCCTCTTTGCTAATGTCTTTCTGCATGCATACCATCAGGAGAGCTTCTCACCAGAACAGTAAGCTTGAAGGGTTTTTCTTTTATTTGGTATTTGCACACAGTAGCCAAGCAGTTTCCTCTTTGATTTTGTTGTTGTTGTTGTTGTTGTTGTTGTTCCCCACCCCCGTAATGTGATATCTGGTCCTTTTTACTTATATTGTAATTCATATTTATGGATTCTTCATCCTATGCCAGGATACTCTTTAAATGATTTAAATTTGACAAGAAACAAGTCTTGTGTCCTTTCCCTCGTTTTATAGATGAGACTATTTAGACACAGCTAGAGCGCCGTGGAAGTTTGTTCAAAATCTCACTGCTAGAAGCCAGGCATTGTGGTGCACTCCTTTAATCTCAGTACTTGGGGGACAGAGGCAAGCAGATCTCTGTGAATTCTATGCCAGCCTGGTCTCATAGTTCCTGGACAGCCAGAGCTATATAGTAAGACCTTGTTTCACAATAAACAACAAACAACAAACAAAACAAACAACCCCACCTGCCACCGATTTCACAGCTAGGGCCTGCAGAAATGGCTTGGTGGTTAAGATCATTTATTGCTCTTGAATAGGACTGGGATTTGGGTCCCAGTACTCCGATGGGGACTCAAAATTGTTTATAACTCCAGTCCCAAGGGATCCCACATCATCTTTGCTTTTTCTAGCATCAGATACACCCCTGATGCATATATATGTGTATATATATATGCAACTATATGATATATATCACATATGATATATATACATACACATATCACTCATGCACACAAATAATAAAATTAATACATCTTTAAAAAAAATCTCAACAACTAATTGGCAGTGCTTAGGGCTGAACCAGGAGGTACCAACTGTACATTTGGGGCTCTGAAGGCCCAGGATGACACCTTGAGTAATGGGATCCTTGACTGCTTTCTCTTTAGGAGTGTGTCACCAGCTCTTCTGGAGCCACCTTCAAACTCTTGGCCAGTGTACTGACTTTGAAACCTCTGCTGAAATGGGCTTTGTGGAGTCGGGCTGAGGACCTGTCCTGAATGGATTGACCATGCCATTGGTATTGGCTGGAGTTCCCATATCTCAGAACAGAGCCAATACAGTATTGGCTTTATTGGATCGGCTTACGCAATAGAAGACTGAGTAGCCCTGCAATGGCCCCCTGCAGGCTAGTAAGATAGACAATCTGGTAGCCAGTCTGAGAAACCTAAGAAGTAGGAGACACAACAATGCAGTCCCAATCCAAGGCTGAAGGCATCAAAGCTTCCTGCAGAGTTGTCAGTGTGAGTGTTCATTGAGAGGATGAAGAAGCTCGAGGCTGTTGTCCAGGACAATAGCAGCGACATGAGCACAGTGGCTCAGAACGGAGCTGTGTGTACTGGCTGGCTTCATCTCCTTCCACCTTTATCCCATCTGGGCCCCCAGCCCCTTGGATGGCACTACCCACATTCAGGATCTATTTCTACTCCTCACCCCTCTGAATGCCAATCCTCTCTGAAAATGCTCTCATAGGCACACCCAGAAGTATGCGTTGCTGGACTCCTGGGCATCTCTCAATGCAGTCAAGTTGACAATCAAGATCAACATCATACCGTCTATTTAGCAAATGAAACCATGCTAGCTAGCTCTTTCTACTTAAAAAAAAAAATTAAAAACATCTTCTGAACTTAAAGCAAAGGGCCATGAGTAATCAAATGTGTATGAGGCCTGCCTGCCTGGATTTCCCTCATCCTTCTGAAGCTTAACATCTTCCTCAGTCAAGCCCAGACAGTGCTGTCATAAGGCAGGCACAGCCAAACAGATGGGTTTGTCTGCCAGAAAGTCAGGCTGGGGACTCCAGTGCCATCTGAAAAACAAAGTCTGCCTCAGAGACTTGACAGTGGGCATGGGTAAGCCCACATCTGGTTGTGAAGGGAGAGAAGAGGGGAGTTTAGACAGAGAAGAATGGAGAAGCAAGAGGCTGCCAGGAAATTGTAGTTGAAGGTATTCCAGAAAGTATGGAATTTAAAAGGATGGGGAGGACGGTTTCTGCTTTGGAACTGACTGTCTCTAGTGTCTATTCTGGGATGATAGTAATAACGCATCTGTGTGATGTTTTTACACACAGACATCCATGGTACGCATGTACGCATGTGCACGCGCGTGTGCACACACACACACACACACACACACACACATTTATATCAGTTGACACCGTTTTCACAGACAGCCTGGGAAGGAAGACAGATCTGTGTGATTATGGCTGTTTTGTCGATGAAACAGGGGCACAGGATAAGGTTGCTTCTTTTACCTCAGGACCAAGTAGCTCATTCTCTTTTCATCTTGGACAGTGCTTCACAGGCTTCAGTGTGCAGACAGCCACCGTTGGGACCAGCAGGTGCAGTAGATCCGGAGTGGAGTCAGGATTGGTTTCTAACATGCTTCCAGTTATAGGAAAGCTGAGTGCAGAATGCTTTAGAGACTGTTCCTGCCTTCCTGTGGTTGGCCCTGCTTTTTACTCTATGATGATGTGGAAATGGACGCAGATAACCGTGCTATGTATTATTGACTTCCAGTGACACAGGTAAGGAGTTAATG